CATTCACATAACGTCACAACGTAAAGTGACAGGAACAGTCCTTCCTGGGGCGCAGCAGTTATAACTAACTTTGTTTATGCTCATTCATACTCATTTACTGGGCTACAGTGGCATAAGCCTTCCATACTTGTATGTCTGCAGTCTGTGTGAAGCATTTATATCAGTGTCTATCACCTTCAGATGGCCTGGAGCTCTCCACCCAGAGCTATTTGAAAGTTTGGGGTCGGTTTGGTATACTATAATAGTTAATACTTTGTTCAGCAAGGATGCATTAATGCATGGAAGCTTGTTTACGCCACTGAATAAAAAATGAGTAATAAATAAATCTCACAATTTTGACTTTTTTCTTATAATTGCAAGATATAAACTCACACTTCTGACTTTTTTTGCGAGCTTATATATCGCAATTCTGACTTCTTTTATCAGAATTGTGAGATATAAACACAATTGTGAATTTATTGAGAGTTATAAAGTCCAATTCTGAGGAAAAAAGTCAGATCATAATTCTGATATTTTTAGTTATATCTCACAATTCTGACTTTGTTTTTCAGAATTGCGAGTTTATACCTTGCAGTTCTGACTTTATAACACACAATTGCGTGTTTTATGCCACGCAAGTCTAAGAAAAAAAGTCTGAATTGTGAGATAAAAGTCACAAGTTTTCATTTTTTATTTAGTGGCGGAAACATGCTTCCATATTAAGTTGATCAATGGTGACAGTAAAGGCATTTGTAAAGTCATATTTTTTTTTCTAAAGATTTCTATTAAAAAAACTTTCTGCGGGTTCAATAAAAAGAACCGTTTAGGGTTCTTTGTAGCCAGGAAAAAGGTTCTATATAGAACCCTTTGGGGTTCATTTTATGAATTTAGTTTTTGTTTAATTGTAATAAAATTTTATGACTAAAACAGCTCATATAGATACTTTGTCACTAAAAAAACTGAAATAACCATAAGCATAACACATTAAAGTATTATGTAATTATTTTTATTAGCATTTTTCTCTTAAATTGACAAAACAGTACATTCCATTTTACAAATATTAGTGTTTCATCAAACCTCCTCCCCCTTACCCAGCTATCCAACACGTATCAGTCATAAATATGTTGATTGCTACACACATACATATGAAAAAGTTAACTTGGAAAAATAAATAAATTAGTATACTGTACTTTCAATAAATGTGAAGTATTAACATAACTTTATCCTATAAACCAAGTAGTCTATGACATTTTTTGTATGCTGCAACTTTCCCCAATTCTGTAACACATGATAGATGGCAAACCTGGTAAGTCCACGTTTCTGAAAAGCCAGCTAAAAGACTAATGTGGTTTTAAGTTGCATTAAACCATAATTTAACATTCAAATAATTAACATTCACAAAGATGAAAATAACTAAATAATAATAAAAAAATTGACACATGACAATTTCAGCACTGGGAAGGGCTAAATATTGTTGGCTTTTGGATGCTCCAATACTGAACAAAGAGTGGACAGCAAACAGATACTTTTGACATCTCTGTGCTATTGGTCAGTGACACATCCATTTGAATGCAAACTGTCTTTTCGTTGAGGGGCTTGACATCCTAAAATGGAGATGCTATTCATAGAAACTTTCATTAGACCTATGGAGAGTACAGTACAACAGAAAGGAATCTCTCAAATTTACATCTTAAAACTTGTATTTTCACCTGAATGCAGATGACCAAACAAGTAATGCTGCACTCCACAGTCAAGACCTGCAGTGACACTGCAACAAGAAATGTTATTTATTTATTTAAATTATTATTTATTTTGCATAAGAACCTGCATGATAACATGTGGAATACAGAAAAAAAAAAGATATCAGGAACTTCAGATTAGCAGATTTACGAGTTTCCCAAAGTAAGTACTGTGAGGAAAAGAATTAATGTACCTTTTTGTGTCATTGTTTTGAAGCAGGTTGGACATGTTTCCCCTGACTTCCACTTTTCACTCTGATAAGGTGGTGGTTAAAACTAGGGATGTAATGGTATGAAAATTTCTTATCACGATTATAGTGACCAACATTATCACGGTTATCAGTATTATCACGGTATTGCTAAAATGTGCTGGAGCTGTTAAAGTTGTGTATTTGGTGTAATGAAATGTGTTTATGTGTTTTAAAGTAA